TCTGTGTGGAGGCAGAAAGCCCCGTGAGGTGGACTGGCCAGAGAGCTGACTTGGCTCTTGCATCAAGAGCAATGTGATCAAAAGACTTCCCTCCTTTGTGGCTGGGGAAGTTCCTGTCTCGCCCTGCACCCTGCTCTGTCCAGCGTGTGGCCCCTCAGACCGGCCCACCAGGGAGCATCTAGCCAGGCTGGGGTGCCCGGTGGCCCCAGGAGCAAAGGCCACCCTCATTCTTCAGCCTGGGCTTGGAGAAGCCGAAGAGGAGGCACCCACCCCCATGGTGGGAGACCTGGTGGTCAGTGGCAAAGAGGAGGACCCTCAGGGAGGTGGAGGGACACAGTGGCTACAACAGTGACCTCAAACAAGAGCAGCGATTGTGAGCCTGGCCTGGGACTGGGCGGCGTGTCCTTCTATTGCCAGCAGGGTCCCGGTGAGTCAGAATCGGCACACCTGGCAATGGTTTGGGAGACCCGAAGGCCAAGTCCGGACAGCCTGTGTCCTTCTGGGGGATGAATTCTCCTTCCAGCAGCCCTGGGAAGCCCGTGGCTAGTGGACAGGCTACTCCGAAGGGGTCACTGTAGAGTGCTCATCAGCTCCAGTTCACAGGGGCCGGGTGGACAGAGAAGCACTCCGCCACCGAGGGTCTGCGTGGCTGTGACCGTGTGGAAGCAGGAGGCCTGGCCTTTCTTCCATAGTGCCTCTGAGCTACAAGCCCAGAGCTAACTGACCCCTGGTTTCCACATCCGTGTGCAGGGAAAATGGGACCCTGAACTAAGGAAGGCCACAGAGGAGCCAGGGCGTGTGCATCGTGATGGTGTTGAAGACCGTGGACCGCTAGCAGGACAAACCGATCCACCGTGGAAGAAGTAGGGCTAGAGTGCTCCTTAGAGGCAAAGATGGAGAAGCTGTAGTTGGGGATATAGAAGCAAAGGGGCCACGTAGGAAGCTTTGAAGGGAGACCTGGATCTACAGAACCGTCACCATCCAAGTGTGTGCCAAAGTTACACAGAGCTCACCCAGGCTGCCTGAGCTGCCCTGCTGGTCCTCAGGCCGGGCACCGAGATCTGGAACCAGAGTCTTTGTGTGAAATCCTACAGGTGGCTGTCCTACCTCCTGCTCTTCATCCTGGACGTGGCCATCTGCCTCATCGCCTGCCTGGGGCTGGCCAAGCGCTCCAGGTGCCTGCTAGCCATGTGAGTAGCTTTGGACAGAGCGGGTGTGAAATCTAGCCCCCTCCTCCCACCCACCTTCCTCCTGATCAGCCCTCAGTGCCCAGGGAGGAGCCGGGGGGCAGTCTTCCCTCTGTCCCCTCCTCATCCTCCTCTCTGCTGCGTGTCCCTGAAGCCCTGGGATGGACGCCCCACTCACGGGACTCCTGGGGCCCCCTAGCAGCTGGCATGATTGACCGTGAGGGTGAGGACCAGGGCTGTCTCCAGAACCCTGCAGGAGTTTGGGGCCCAGGAGGGCAGGGTTGGGCTGGGGTGAGAGCGCTCTGGCCTTCAAGCCCCCACCACCCCCACCCGGCATGTGAGGTCCACGGGTGACAGCCCACAGCCTGCTCACCAGCCTAGCGCCTGCCGCTCAGCCGCTCTGTCTCCTAGGTTACTGTGCTGTGCGCTGCTGACCCTGCTCCTCAGCTGGGCCTCCCTGGCCGCCGACACAGCTGCCGCCGTGGTGAGTGGGGCTGGGGCTTCCGAGGGCGGCGGTCACCCAGGACCTCGTTCCCCCAAGGGGTGGTGTCCCTGCTTTCAAAATCTCCAGGAGGCCATTAGAAATGGGACCGGTGGTCACTATGTGTGACTGCACCGGGAGTAGCACATTCTCTTTTGCCCGAGCCTGAGCTCCCTGCCTGCCATTGGGTCAATCCTGACTGACAGCAACTCCGGAGAGCAGGGTTTCCACGTGCCTCGCTCTTTACGGGAGGAGAAAGCCTCCCCTTGCTCTCCAAGGTGCAGCCAGGTGTGTAACCCACAGACCAAAGCCAAACTCACAGCCATCGAGTCAATGCTGATGCCTCTCCACCCTCTGGGGCAGGGCAGAGCTGGCCCTGTGGGTTTCTGAGACTAATGCTCCCACAGGAGTGAAGAGCCTCCTCTCTCAACCTCAGAGTGATTTCCAACTGCGGACCTTGAGGTTGGCGGCCAGGTGTTTAACTGCTGGGCCACACTAGGGAGCCATGCGGGGCCACTCTGCTCTGCCAGGTGGGGTCTCGATGAGTTAGAATCCACACGAGCAATAAAACCCAGGGAAGGGGGGGAGGGCTGAGGCTTCCTCCCACCCCTCCCTCTCTGAGGGTCATCACCAAGGTGCCGGTCTGCCTCCCCATGCTTTCACACACCTTGCAGGGCCACCTGGCAGCTTCCCAAACACCCACCAGAGCCCCCAGCTCGGAGTCTGCACTCCCACCTCCATTATTCCAGTTTCAGAAACCGGAGACCAAAGGCCAGCCTCGGTCCTTTGTCCTGCAGCCCAGTGCCCCAGGGCAGGGCCAGCAACCAGCCTGGGCCCTAGCTTGTTGTGGTGAGGTGCCAGCCAGTCGGTTCCGACAACAGAACAAAACGCTGCCCGGGCCTGGGCCGTCCTCACACCTGTCCCCCGTGGCTGCAACCGCCATGTCCATCCCCCTGGACTTCACCAAGCATGGTGTTCTTCTCCCTAGTCTGGCCTCTCCTGGCAACATGTCCGAAGTACGTGAGACAGAGTCGCGCCACCCTTGCCTTTAAGGCACGTCTGGCTGCACTGCTTCCAGGACAGAACTGTTTGTTCTGTTGGCCGTCCATGAGGTTATGTGTTGGGCTGCAATCCTCACAGGCCGCAGTTCAAAACCAGCAGTCGCTTCTCAGGACAAAGACAGGGCTTTCTACTCCCATAAGCAGTCTCGGGACCTCCCAGGGGCAGTTCTACCCTGTCCTATAGGGTCACTGTGAGTCGACATCAACTCCATGACTGAGTTCTGTTCCGTTGGTCTGCTTTAGTGGTCCATGGTACTTTCAATATCCTTCCAGCCTCTGGCCTAGGATAAGGTGACCAGACGTCCCGCTTTTGGCAGGACAGTCTCGATTTTTGGCATTTTTAAAATGTCCCGATTTTTGGAAAGAATGCATGACAGGCTAGGGAATGGTCTATTTGGTCCATATAGACCAAATTTTTAATCAAGAACCACCACCACCACCCATCAATGGTATCCCACTTTAAATCTGGTCACCTTAGCCTAGAATCTCTGAAGTGAAGGTGCTTGGGTCCTCTGGCCTAGGGAGAACCTGGCCCAGGGAGGGGGCGTGGTGCGCCAAGGCTACAGAGTCCAGCTAAGATTCCTGAGGGCTGGTCATAGCTCTGAGTGTCTGGTCGCAGTAACTCTGGGTCTCAGAACTCACCAGGTCTGGTGGGGGTGGATCCCATCTGAGCCTCTGGCTGAAGGACCCCACCATCCTCATGATCCCCTCCTTCCCCCATGTCCCAAGCCCGAGGGGGCGTTGAGTCTGCCTCCTCTCCCAAGCGCAGAGCCAAAGCACACCCCAGCCAGTGGCTGGACCAGGTATCCCAGATACAACAGAGAGAGTCAGGCCTCCTGATGGGGCAAGGTTGGTTGTCCCTACGCCTTCTGACCACGCCAGGAAGTCCTGGTGGCATAGCAGTTACACACTGGGCTGCTAACTGCAGGGTCCACAGTTCGAAACTACCAGCTGCTCCTTGGGAGAAAGATGAGATTTTCTACTCCAGCAGTGACAGCCTCGGAAACTCACAGGGGCAGGTCTACCCTGTGGCCCATTCAACTCTGGCTCATCACTGTCCAGTACCTGGGCGTACAAAACATTTGAAAGGTCTCCCAGCTCCGTAGAAAGGAAAGACTGGGCAGGGACAGCATGGGGGTTCCTGGAGGGTACCCGAAGGCGGTCAGGGGGTGGATTGTGGGGAGGCTCTAGCTCATTCAAGGGCAACCAACCCACCAGGGGGGGTGTACTCACACTGCTGACTCACCGCGAGCACCTGTGGGTTTCCCAGTCCAGAACTGTCAATGAAGTAGGAAGGCTGGTCTCCCCCCACCCCACAGGAGCTGCTCACCATGTGGATCAGCCAACCACGTGGATCACAGCCCAATGCGTAACCACTACACCGCCGTTGCTTCACTTTCTAGCGTCAAAGGGAACAAGGGAGCAGGGCTGGTGTGTGTGGGGATGGGGAGGCCCGCTGAAGCCGTCCCCAGACACCAAGAAGAGAAGGCCGGGCAGCAGGGACGAGGTCCTGCTGAAACCTATCTTGTGTGTATCCTGGGGTGAGGAGGGAGCCCGAGCCACAGCTGACCAGGGCTCTGGGCACAGCTGCGGGCACAGCTGCCCCCCTGACGGCCCTCCTTGCTGACCAGTGTGGACACAAAGGAGCAAGCACAGCTCGGGTGCCCACAGCCCCGCCTGCACCCTGGCCACCCAGGCCTGCTCCCTTGGTGGGGGGGGCAGCCCCTCCTAATCAATCCCCTCGGAGGGGGTGGAGGGGCTTCTCCTGTACCAGGCTTCACTGTTCCAGACACCAGGGCCACTGACCCTCCCAATGGGGTGTGTGCCGGGAGGGGCACAGCTCCTGCTTGTTCAGTCAGGCCCCATGGGAACAGCTGAATGGGCCTTTGATGCCCACCCCCCCCAGGCTGCTGACAGCCGTCAGTGTGGGGAGCTTTTGTGTAGCCTCAGAGCTGTGGCCCCTCCCCTCCCAGTCACTCAGAAAGGACACCACTGGCCCCCGATAATCTGCCAGCTAAGAGGGAGCAGCGGGCTGAACAGCAAGCAGTTCAGGGGAGTGGCATTCTGAGTTGCCCACCCCCCTCTGTGACTTCAGCTGTGCTTGGGGTCAGGAGAGGAGATGAGAGAAAGAAGGCGCATGGGGCAGGTCCTCTGCTGCTGCTGGAAAGTTCCAGAAGGAGGGAGCGCTGTGCGGCGTCCCTTCAAGACAAAGCGAAAGTGGGATGAGGCGGAATCCGAGAGGGAAGGTGTCTCCATCTCCGGGGGCCCCAGGACCTCGTGAGGACAGAAGCCCACTCCCCGTGGTTCTGAAGGCCGGGAGCCCACAGTCAGGGTGTCAGCCATGCTGGTTGCCTTTGGAGGGAGAACCTGCCACTCGCCGTTTCCCTGGTCTCCCTGGTCTCCAGGGACAATCCCTTGGAGTCCCTGGCGCAGGGCGGCACCGTCTCTGCAAATCTGTGCCCATTGTCACCTGTCTTCTCTCTAAGTCCATTCGTTGATGAGCACGTCCACCCTAGTCTGTGTCGCCTCACATGGCCGGAGGACATCTTCAGAGACCCTTAGCGGTCACCTAGCCAGACCCTGCTGCTCAGGATGCCGAGCTCCCTCACCCAGCTGGGACCCATGTCCTCTGAACCCCGAAGCGGACACGAGCCGGACGTGTTCCTAAGACGGGCCCTTAGGACTCGATTCTGTGAGGGAGGGGCTGGGGGAGGCTCCTCGATCAGCCCCCAGAGCCCACAGCACCGGGAACGTCCGCTCGGCAAAGAAAATATAACCGGCTCCCAGCAGGGGGACTGCGTGTGTCCCCTGGGAGAGGGGACGGCCCCCTTCCCGGGGTTGGAGTACGAGTTGATGTTTTTGTAACTCAGTACGGGATGGCTTCTAGCGCTCCGGTGACAGAGGGGGAAACGGAGGCACTGGGTGAAAATACGTCACTTGGCCAAGGTGACCAAGTTAAGAAAACTCCCCCCAAATTCAACGGCCATCAGTTGATGCGGACTCAGGGTGGAACTGGCTCTGTGGGGGTCGGAGACTCACTCTCTGAGGGGTAGGGAGCCCCGGCTTCCTCCAGCCCCGCACCGGGTGGTGGGTGGTTTCTCCAATGACTGACCTCAAGGGTCACAGCTTGTAATGCTGTAAGGTAACCATGACAACAAAGTTAGGAGCAGGATTCCAAAGCTGGGCACTGACGTCTACCCCCTCCTTTATCCCCGTCCCTCCCCCTCTCAGGGCACCAGCGACTTCTGCGTGGCTCCTGACAGTTTCATCCTGAACCTCACGCAGGGCCACATCAGCACAGGTAAGGAGCCCTCCTTCCTGCTGCCCCGGCCACTCTGGGGGCCCAGCCCCCGCCCCCTGCCCCCCCTTGGCATCAAGGCCGGCTGGACTGCTGGCTGCTTCCTGGAAATGCGCTTCTTAGGGAAACCTGGCTGGGCGGCTGGGTCACGTGAGAGCCAGTGCCTGACACCTTTGACTTTGCCCTGCAGAGGTGACCCGCTACTACCTGTACTGCAGCCAAGGCCCAAGCAGCCCCTTCCAGCAGGTACGGTCCTCCAGCCTCCCACTCTGTCCCAGCGGCGAGGAGCAACCGGAGGTGGCTGGGGTGTTCCCTCCTTCTCTGACGGGGGCAATGCCGTTAGGGCCGGGTTCCTGGCCGGGGCTTGATTAGGCATCATGCACACGCCTGTTCTCATGTGTCCTTGAGTGGATTCTGACGATGACCCTGTGGGACAGGGTAGGGTTGCCCCTGTGTGCTCCCGTGTTCTCGAAGGGGTCAGGAAGCAGCTGGTGGGGCTTCACGGAGCGCTTAACCACCGAGTCACTGCAGCACAGGGTGGGCGGTGGGGGTGGGGGGATGCAGATTTGACCTCTGCAGGTGGAGCGCCTATTCTGGGATGGGAGAAGGGCAGCAGCGGCTGGGGTGTCCTGTGAAATCCTTCCCCCGGGGAGGTGCCTGAAACGGGATGGTCACTTTGGTATTTGCCGAATGCGCCTTCGTTTCCCGCCACTGCCTGGCGCTGCTGCTCACGGCCCCGAGGTACAAGGCTCCGGTGCAGAGGAAGCTTAAAGAACCGGGAATCGGTGTGTTTGCCCAAACTGGGGAAGCTGGTAAAGCCAGGCTATAAAACGAGCGAGGGGGCCCAGCTCAGAGAAAGGAGGGACGCCGGTACCTTAGTCATGTATTGCTGGGCTTCCAGAAACAGAAACCCCAACCAGCCTCAACTAAGGCCAGGCGTCTGTCCCTGAGGCTGTGTGGACCCCCCAGCGGGGGTAGGGGGGAGCTGCCCCACAGGTTTTCTAGGCCAGCATCCTCAGACTGGCAGGTCTAACCCGTCTTTCTTCCTCGGAGCCCCCGGTGGGTCTGAACCCTGGGATGGGAAAGTTGGAAGAGGCCCGGTGAACTCTGAGGGTGACAGCCGCCATCTCTGAGCCAGGCACCGTCGTTCTCAGTTGGGCTGGTGAGGAGATCTGGCTACTGGCGATGCACAGACTGCCCATTTTCTGAAAGGGAAATTCGGTCTCTGCCCCTGACCCTCCCATCCTTAGGTATGGCGGTCCTGCCCACCACGCTGATGCCCATCTGGGTCTGGAAGAACCGTTTCTGAGCCCCGAGCAGGTCGGGGGTGGGGCCTGGGACTCTGCAGTCTGGGACCCACACGCTTGCGTAGCTGGGAGCTCTCAAGAACCCCAGGGTGGCTGTCCTCTCTGGCCTAGGTGCTGACCGTCTTCCAGCGCTCGCTGACCGCCATGCAGACCCAGACCAGCCATCTGCTGCAGCTTGCTGTGCCCCATTTCCCCACAGCACAGGTGAGGCCGGGCTCCAAGCCAGCTCTGAGCTGGAGGCCGAGTTTCCCCGGCTCCTCCCCGGGGGCTTCTCTGCCAGCCCTCCTGCCCCTCCGGCCTCACCACTGCCCGCTCGCCCACTGCAGAAAGACCTACTGGAGATCCAGCTCCTGCTGAACTCGTCTGAGGCCAGCCTGCACCAGCTGACGGCCCTGCTGGACTGCCGAGGGCTGTACAAGGTGTGGGGGTGCCCTGGGAGTGGGGGTCTGGGCATACACAGCAGGCTAGGGCCGGGCTTCGGGGCGGGGAGGACCTGGCTTCTTGAGTCTCTCTGGTGACCAGGACGGAGGCGTGGTGAAAAGGATGAGGCAGGAGAGGCAGCATCCGTTCATGCTAGAGTGTGAGCTGGCCCTGACCGGTCCCTGCCCCTGGCCGCAGGCAGAGGCCAGGGTCAGCTCTGCGGGCACTGTGACCAATGCAGGGAACACTCCCGGAGGGTCTGTGCCGTGGTCTCCCTGGAGTGGACAGCTCTCGGCTCTCAGATGGATTTAGAGAAACTAAGGAGAATGATGGAGCTGCCGATGGTTCTGGTAGTTTCCACGTACAACACGCCCACGCGTGTCGCACCCACAGGAAACGAACACGCACAGGGCTTACTCGGGTTTTAAGTCTTCCTCGGGGAGGTTCGATAAATTCGTAAGAAAATGCCATTATCTTGAATTTTTCTGGAAGCCTCCAGTCTTCCCTAATTTATCTGGATCTTGCCGTAAAGAAAGCAAGATTGGGAAAATTCATGATATTTTTTTTTTCCTGGAAGCACCCTCACCCCCTTGTCTAATGGCGTTCGTTCCCAGTGATCGGGGTAGAAATAAGGGTCCCGGCTCCTGTCCTGTGCCCCTCAGACCCAGCCTGTCCTTCGGCCTCACAGTCACCCTGTGGGGGAGATGCCATTTTGAGGGAGCTTTTACCCACGAGGGGAAGGAAGCTTGCGTGTGTCATGTTGCTCTCTGACACGTAGGACCCTGAAGATTCCAGAGCTGGCAAGTCAAGGGGCGATTTGCCTCTGGACCCTGCCTTCCAAGTCAGAACTGCTAAGCAAGGACCGGCCACCCTCCTCGCCGGTCTCCTGGATCCTTCCAAGCCCCTGGCGCTGGCCGGCTGTGGCTCCTGACTGGTCCCCACGCCCTCTCTCCTGCGCTTCGAGCCTTGCCTAGGGCACATAGCCGCACAGGGCTGGGCACACACCAGCTTGCTTACATCCCTTCCATCCTCCAAGCCTCCTGAGTCTTGGGCCACCTGATGGCAAGATCCAGAGTCCTCGTGGGTCTGGCCTCGCCTCCTCCCTTGGCCTTTTCTGAAGGTGTGCTCCTCCTAGCTCACTCCGCACACAGACTTCTCTTAACTTCAGCTCACCCCGCAGCCGTGTCTGCCCACTTTGGCACTGACCTCCCCGCCCCCCCCTACACACACACACACTAGCACACAGTCTGTGCTCGGCACATGCTTAGGGAGAACCCAAGAAGCCCATCGTGTTGGGCACCAGTGCAGCTGTCGCAGGTGCTTGGAATGGGGAGTTGTCGGGTGAGCCCAAGTGTACCCCACTCTCCGGCCAACAGCCTGTCCCTCCTCCCCAGGACTACCTGGATGCCCTCACCGGCGTCTGCTATGATGGCATCAAGGGCCTGATCTACCTGGGCCTCTTCTCCCTCCTGGCCGCCCTGGCCTTCTCCTCCATGATCTGTGCCGGGCCGCGCACCTGGAAGCACTTTGCCACCAGGTAAGAGGCGGGGAGAGAGGGGGGCTGCCACCCTGGGCCTTCCTGGGAGGCAGCTTGGGATGCTGCTCTGTGAGCAATGGAGGGATGGGGGCCGACTGGGCCAGTTGCATCCCTGCAGGAGCATCTCTGGGAATCTAGGCACCAAAGCCAGGTTTGAGGATAGAGCCAGGCCGAGAGAAGTGACAGCCCTGTACCTCTCCCCCCACACAGCTGGCCTCTCTTTTCGGACAGGACTTGGTAGGGGAAGCGGGGACTTGTTTTGGGTGCTGGGAGGGACCACCAAGGACCAGCTGTGGTCAGTGCTGTCCCGGAGCCCTGGGCTCCTCCGGAGGCCGACAAGGAGGTGTTACAGCCCCTTGTGAGCAGATGGGACACGAGGAAGCCGGGTCGGTGTGCACTGTCAGGATGGTGGGCTTCCTGGAGGAGGAGGTGGATGTGTGTGATGTTGGGGAGGGGAGAGCTGAGGATTCCAGGGGCTTCAGGCAAGGCTGAGGCCCATGCCTTAGGAGGGTCTCCAGGAGCCACGCCGGCCAGAGCACAAGGGATGGCGGAAGAGACGGGAAAGCAGGCAAGACCCCTGGCGGCCCCCCTGGCCTCTGACAGCCCTCCATCCCCATCCTGTCCCAGGGACCGGAACTACAACGATATCGATGATGAAGACCCCTTCAACCCCCAGGCCCGACGCATCGCCGCCCACCACCACCCCCGTGGGGCACCGCTGCATAGCTTCTGCAGCTACAGCAGCGGCCTGGGCAGCCAGACCAGCCTGCACCCCCCAGCGCAGACCATCTCCAACGCCCCCGTCTCTGAGTACATGTATGGCCCATCCCAGCCAGGCCAAGGGCCCAGGGAGCCCGGGGTGGGGGGGTGGGGGTGGGGGCAGGCATGCCAGGTGGCCCACAGGCCCCGCCCCCTCTAGCCTCCTCGAGGTGTCCACTACCCAGAAAGGCATCCACTAGATGTCCATCATCTGCCGTTGTCAGGAGCTCTGGCCCCTCGAGGGACGGCCACACTGGTCACCCCAAGAAGTGTCAGAGCTACCTGCTCCCCACACCCTGTGAGCCCCCCCCCTCCCCCGCACCTGCCCCCTTCCACACCTGCCCATCTGGTTCCCCTCTGAAGACACAGGAGGGGCCTTGGGTAGCGATGCGTGCACGCCGCTGAACGTCCTTCTCCCCGCGTCCCCCCAGGAACCAGGCGGCCCTCTTCGGTGGGACCCCACGCTACGAGAACGTGCCACTCATCGGAAGAGGCTCCCCGCCGCCTACGGTAACCTGGACCTCGGTGGCAAAGTTTCTGTTCTTCCCCGTGTGGGGGAGACGATGACAAATAAAATCTGCCAACCCCGGTGCAGTGGCTTGTCTCCTCCGAGGTAGAACCGGAGGATCCGCTGGTGCTGAAACCCACAGGACTCCCACCCC